CCTTTCAGCCATGTTGTACTTAATTGTATTTTTTTTGTGCCTTATTAATTTCACACTTTTCCGGGTTGGTTGCTTTTATCTCCTGCCTGCGCTTTAACTGCAGATGTAATCGATTTAACTTAAGAACCTTTGTGCTAGCCCAGTGTAATTACAGTAATTACAAAGCCTGCTTTCAGACATCTGCTGCACACTTTATTAGGTTTTACTTTCCTGACTGTAGACTTTTGGAGGTGTCTTGCATTTCATATAAATATTTGTTGACGTAATTGAGTCGAAAGCTGATTAAGTTGTCAATATATAATTTCAAAATTGTTGCAGTTTTGTAATGAATAGGCACTTGACTGATTGTTGATATATTGCTGACTTGTCAGGGTTCTAACGAGCATTGATCCAGCATAGAGTCAGTGGATCAAGCCACACAATTTCACGAAAAAAGCCCATTAATGGTTGGACTGATAATCAGAAATAAGAGACAGAATGAGAAGCCGTGTGCCATTCTGTTTCTCTCCTTTCTGACAACACAGTAAACAGATGATGTTTGCTGCACCTGCATAATTGCTCATCATGACAGTGTGACACCTGTGCCGTTTAAGGTCACGGAGTAAGTTCATAATGTTGTTCCCAAAAAGAAAAAAATCGGAGCATGCACACAAATGTGCCACTCCTTAGTTATGATGTGCTGTGCAATGATTTATAATAACCATCTGCAGCCTTATTGTGGTGGAATTACATTATTTTTTCTGCATAAAAATGAGAAGAAAGCACCATCTATATCCAATCCCTTTATAATTGGCTTAGCTAAGCCATATACAAGACAGGAATCAGTTCCTCTGATTATAATGCGACTACACTGCAACAAATATTGCATAGAGAATGCACATAAATCATTTTGGAGAACAACATGCTGTCTTGTCATTCTTTAGTGTTCTTGTGACAAACTGATTTAATTTTGTAGACCTACACGGCGTACATAGCGTCTTTGGAAAGCTGCTGCAGTGACTGGGGTTTTAAGTGTCTGGCATGCCTTTACAGACGCTGAACAACCGAGGATGACTTTTAGGTTTTGTGCTGCTCTTTAAAATGCCTTTGAATAGGTGAAAGAATTTAAAGCTTTTAAGATTTCAGGGTTTTACCATACAGATCCATTATTTACATTATGTAGCACTTCACCTTTTTGGAAATATTAAATACCCCGCCTCTACTCTACAAGCTGCTTGGAAAAGTGTATAGAGTTATTAAGGATAATGCTGTGTCATTGGAGGTACTCAAGAATAATGGAGAAAGGTGAGGAGAAAGTCAAATAAGCACTGGTCCTAATAAGCCTGTGCGCCTTGGGAGCTGCTTTCTGTAGACTAGACTTTTTATTGAAGAAAGGGGAAAAAGTGTCTTTTTAAATTCCTAAACTCAATGGCAAAAAGGCCACCTTCACTCTCCTTCATTTGGGAAATATTTCACTTACCAGTGAGAATAAATGTGTTTTATTTTGGGGGATTTTCTCTCAGTCTCACAACAACACAATGGCTTTTTCCATTTTCCTCAGCTGCCATCCTTGATGACCCTATGGAGTGCAGCAGAGGAGAGCGTCTGGCTATCACGCTGGCCAAAGACAGCATCAACAGGAGCAGTAACCGCTCCATCACTGGCAAGCTGGAGGTGGACATCTTTGAACTGCTGAGAGACAGCGAATATGAGATGGGGGAAACAAGTAAGTAGCACAGGAAAGAAAAGCAAGTGATTGTGTGTGTGAGTTTGTTGGCTAACATGTTTATTCATGCAGAGAAAAAGAGCCTCTCCTGCTCTTTCTGCAAGTAGTTTCTCATAACATATTTTAATAGATGTTCTATTTTTTTTTATATGGTTGCTCGCTTTTGTAGAGATGACCTTGAAAAGTTTTTCCGATTGTGATGTCACCGCGGGCCCATCACCATTTATACTCCCTGTACTCCTGCATTCTAGTCCTGAACAATAGGCTCAGAAAATAAACCTCCACCATCAACGCTTTGATAGAAGCATCAGTTGAAAGAGGAATCAACAAATTCACTGAGATTTAATTGTTTTTTTTTTCTCCAGAAAGTCTCATCTTTTCAAGCTGTTCCAAGATCTCTTTCTTAAAAATCTTGGGATTTCTGAGAAATGGTGATAAAGATTGCCACAATCATACATTTACGTCTACGCATCAGCCATTAGCCCCAAGTTATAAAAATGGAAATGTGCACAAAAAGACAGAACACGTCACTTTTGGCCTAAACCACCAGGTGCAGTGGACATTCTAATCCAGGTGTTGTTGAGCTTTTATTAAGTAGGCCAGACCATCATGGGATTCCCACTAATTTGTTACCTAGATGTGACAAATGCATCACTGAGAGTGACTCTATTAACTTAAGCCAGAGTAGCTATTTGCTATCAGTGGTATCAGCACTTACCCACAGCATTTTTGTACTGTCTGGTGACTTGTAGCATCACACCTCAATGTTTATTGGTTTGTTTGTTTTAAAATTTTTAATTAAAACACCCCAAATCAATACAGCGCAGTGTGTCTCTGCAAAAAGAGCAGCCATTGATTTTCAATATGACACATTCCTACTTTCCCAAATGCAAGAGCTTCAGTGGCGCCTGCCTAATACATGGAAACAGCACTTTAGTTACCACAACCACAACAAACTGTTTTACTTTCTCTGCCCGGGCTAAGACAAACCTCACAGTGTGGTTCCTTTAGTGTGCTTGCGTGCGTGCATGTGTCCCCGTGTGTTTGTGTTTGTGCGTGTGGGTATATGTAAAGCAACGTGTGTAGCTGTGCACAAGCTGGATTTTGTGTATACTGTGCAAATGTTTAGTGTGTGAAAATGTGAGTGTGTAATTAGAGCCAGGATTTGGATTAGGGACGGATCAGCGGCCGCGGATAGATGAAAATATCACAGAGTGAGAATTACCTGGGAAGAAAAGTCAGATTCCACCATCAATGAGTCCTTCCCTGGCTGTTCAGTATGGACATAGTCTGATTGCTGCATAACATCCACATACTGTAAGATTCTATCATGCACAGATTTTCTGTTCTATATAATAATGTGCGACATCTATATGACAACCTTTATTCTTGAACACATCCTGAATTTACTCTCTTTAAGTAGTCTTCAGGAAAGATCTCTAGGTTTCTTGAAGTCATTTAAAGCTCTTCTTTAAATGTTGAGGCCTTTTATTCTGTTCACTGTCAAGATGACCCCACACTGCTTCAATAAAGTTAAGGTTCAGCCTCTAGGGAGGCCAATCCATGAATGATGGTGTTCCATTGTTTGGGATCATTGTCATGCTGAAAAAGGTGGCATTGATTTGTGAATTCAAATCTGAAGGTATTTTTCCACTATCATGATTTTATCAATTTTAACATGATCCCCAACACCACTGGCCGAAATGCAGCTCTTTACCATGACAGAGCCTCCATCATGTTTTACAGCCACCTCCAACAGGTTTTCTGGGGGAACACCGAGGCGCTCTCGGGCCAGCCAAGAGATATAATCTCTCCAGTGTGTCCTGGGTCTGCCCCAGGGCCTCCTCCCAGGGGGACGTTCTCAGAACACCTCACCTAGAGGCGCCTAGGAGGCATTGTCAGATGCCTGAACCACCTTAACTGGCTCCTGTGGAGGAGCAGCGGCTCTACTCTGACCCCATCCCAGATGGCTGAACTCCTCACCCTATCTCTCAGGGAGAGGCCAGCCACCCATCAGAGAAAACTCATTTCTGCCACTTGTATCCGCAGTCTCGTTCTTTCGGTAACTACCTAAAGTTCGTGCACATCCGCTTTGTGTAGGGACGTGGGAAAGAGTAAACCAGTAAATCAAGAGCTTTGCTTTTACGCTTCGCTCTTTTGTCACCACGATGGACTGAGACATTGTCCGCATCGCTGCAGCTGCAACACCAATCCATTAGTCGATCTCCCGCTCCCAACTTCCCTCACTTGTGAACAAGACTGCGAGATATTTAAACTCTTCCACTTGGGGCAGTATTTCTTACCTGACCCGGAGTGCGTATTACACCCTTTTCCAGCTGAGGGCCATGGCCTCAGACTCGGAGGTGCTGATTCTCATTCCCGCCGCTTCACACTCAGCTGCAAACCGCTCCAGTGTGAGCTGAAGGCCATGACCCAATAAACCAAAAATTTCAGCCGAAGAGCCCTATCTCCTGAGTCTTAACTGGATTTTTTCCCTATTTCTTAAGGACATGAGTTTACAGGGTTATACTAACTTGTATTGATTAGTGAAAAACAATGTTAAATAGTGATAATGGCCTAAAGATGATCTTATGATCTGAGCCACAAAGAAACTCGAGGGACATGCATAATTATGGAAATCTTGTGAACAAGTATTTCTGGAGATGCATATAGATGTTTATGTAAATAGTTATTATCAAGGAGAAAAAGAACACTTGTGTTTATGGCAGTTATAAGGTGAATCCAATTTTTTCACCTTCACCCTCAGAAAAAAAGAGTGTGGCACATTCCTCCTTGTTGAATAAGAGTAGTCTCACTGGCTTTTAGGCTTGTGAAGATGAAAATCTTCATAGCAGAGGTCCCCAGTGTCATGGACTGAGTCAGACTGCCATCAGAAAGGGGCTGTGCTGAGTTTGACATCTTGTGACCAAATAAAGCAGGGGTGGGTAATTAATTTTCCCCAAAGGCCACATGACAAACTGGGACTGTTGTATAAATAAAATGAATACCAAGCAGAACCAAGTGCAGCTTCATATTAATTTGATCACTTAATAATCTTTTTGTTGCGGTCCTTCACAACAGCCCAAGTTTCTCATGAGGCCTTTGAGGAAAATTAATTGTGGTAATGAGTGTGGAAAGGAACAGACTGTGGTAGTCAGTGACTACCTGAACTCCAGCGCTGTACTTTCATTGGACTTTGTCTGTGGCTACATTTTCAATTATGGCTTGTTGTAGCATCTTGTTGGTTTTTTTTGACTCCCTGAATGTGGGATACTCAGATTCTCTAGCTGGATCTGAAAGCACAGAAAGATCCCATGTACGCTATACTGCCAGTATTTACTCACCTATCCAAATCATTGGCATTGCATTCAGGTGTTCCAGTCATGTCTATGGCCACAGGTGTATAAAATCAAGCACCAAGGCATGCAGACTGCTTCTATATTTGTGAGAGAACGAGTCGCTCTCAGCAGCTCAGTGAATCCCAAGCATGGTACCGTAATAGGATGTCACCTGTGCAACAAGTCCAGTCAGAAATTTCCTGACTACTAAACATTCCACAGTCAGCTGTTAGTGGTATTATAACAAAGTGGAAGTGACTGCGAACAACCGCAACTCAGCCATTAAAGGGTAGGCAATGTAAAATCACAGAGCGGCAGATGCTGAGGCGCATAGTGTTCTTAGCTCGAGAACAGTGTGTAAATTGATTTTTCAGGAGTTGTGCTCGGCCCTTATTTCCAGTGAAAGGAACTCTTAACGCTTCAGTATACTGAGACATTTTGGACAATTTCATGCCCCCAACTTTGCAAGAACAGGTTGGGGATGACCCCTTCCTGTTCCAACATGACTGCACACCAGTGTATGATGCAAGGCCCATAAAGACATGGATGAGTGAGTTTGGTGTGGAAGAACGTGAGTGGCCTGCACAGAGTTCTGACCTCAACCTGGCAGAACGCCTTTGGGATGAATTAGAGAGTAGACTGCAAGCCAGGCCTTCTCATACAACATCATTTTTTGACATCACAGGCACTCTTCTGTAAGAATGGTCATAAATTCCCATAAACACACTCCTAAACCTCGTGGAAAGCCTTCCCAGTAAAGCTGAAGCTCTTACAGCTGCAAAGTGGCATCATTTTAAATCCTATGGATGGATGGATGGATGTCACTCAGGTCTATATGCATGTGAAGCCAGACGAGCGAATACTAGTGGCAATATATTGTACCTCATTAGTTATCCATCAACTTTTAATAGCAGTAAAAGCACAACTGAAGAGTAGTGTGCTAATTCTGCTGCGTGATAGCCTATAAATGCTGTTTACAGGAAATTGTTTGATTTGGGCCATGCGTAACATTTTGGGTTTGTTTTTTTTAAAGCAGATTTCACTCTATTGACCTTTTCATCCAGAGCTACATCCATTTTTAGGAATTAACCTATGTAAAGTGCTTTTACATATATTTACATAAACCTATATAATTGTTTAGTTTAAGCAATGTTTTTGAATCCTTTTAATTTAGACCTAATATAGTAAAAGAACTGAATCCCACACGGTGTTTTTTTTTCCCAAAAAAAAGTGTAACTGTCCAAATACTTTCAATATGGCTCACATATTTACACACAGAAAAAGCTCGCCGTGCACAAAGAGAGCAAATGAAAGTGTCACCAGGGCCGGGAGCATTCTGGCTTGCAGTCAAATCATTCAGCTTTATAATTCAGTGAAGCCATTACAGACAGGTGCAAACAAAAGTGTGGGCGTGGATGCGTTAGTGTGTGCACTGTATACATGTGTGTTGTTTTTTTTTCATGTGAGATGCCAGTGTATTCATGTCTTACAAGCCCCATGGGTGACTAGCGGATTACTTATTAATCATTCGATTCACTGCCTCTCGATGCACCGCACGGGCCTGGAAATGTTTCCCCTTTGCCTATTTTACACTGGTGGCTGGTTAATGCTCAGCAATTCCCCAATAACAGCCACCAAATTACCAACACCCACACACACACACTTTGGTGCACACATGCTCAAACAATAATAGTGCTTCAGTATGTGTGTCTTCTTTACACCCTGGACTGCAGTGTGTTAATTACAAGCCAGGGATTATAAACACATAAGAAACGGCATTCTTTCCCAGTATGGGAGATTAAAGCATATGGCCCGTGCACATGGCAAAGGAAAGAAAGTCACTTTTACTGAAATGTTTCTGTTTACAGATATGTTTTAAAGCCCAAAGGTACCGCTGTTAAATCAAGTGTGTGTGTGTGTGTGTGTGTGTGTGTGCGTGTGTGCGTGTCACCTTTGGGGATATTATTGCATTCATGTGCAAATTATCAAATACCAGATTTTTTATTTTCACCCTCCAGATATTGCTGCTTGTCACATTTCCCAATGTCTGCTTTTCACCGACTCCCACTCTGTTTATCCGTCATTGTCTTCTTTCTTTTTTACTGCATATCTTTCCGTCTTTATACTTGAGAGTTGATCATATTAATATCCCCAACAAGTAAAACATCCAAAGGCAGATAGAGTGTAGCATCTGCCCTTGTGCATATTTCCCTTATACTTGTAGTTTCTGGTTCCCTTGAGACAGGAGAAATGCTGGTGCAGGCTGCTATCTGTTCAGTGATCATATGGATCCATTAACATTAGCCTGAAAAAAAAAAGCCTGATCTAACACCAACTGCCTTACTTTACTTTATTTATCTCTGTTACCTCTAATTGCCCCTGCTTATATCTCTGTGCTCCTCTGTTTTTTTCCAGTGTGCCAGATCATGTCCAAAGGGGTGGTGGCAGTCCTTGGTCCATCTGCCAGTCCAGCTTCCAACTCAATCATCAGCAATATATGTGGAGAGAAGGAGGTAAGTTCCAACCAACTGGCCCGGGGCTGGTGGCGTGCGATTCAGCCACACAGAAAAAAAGGGGCAGATTTAGCTGCACAAATATTATATTTGCACAGAAAGTTTTCCTTTCGTGAAGGAAAACTGCTTATTGTGTGGTAACTCATCTGGAATGCCAGAAGGTCCTTATCATTACAAACTAGAATTTATAATTTTCTGGAAGAAATCAAAAATGACCAATAATCTCCAACTGAAAGTCATAACACACTGCATAAACCATTCGAAAGTCAAGCAGGGCTTTAATAAGGCTGTACATAAGTGCTGTTGTGCATAAGTGTTTTAGCTTCATTCACATTTGCAGTCATTTGTCATATGTCTACCGCCTTCAGACTGCAAATGTTATTTAAATAACAAATTCACCCCACCAGTCAAAACTCAGCAAGATAGCTTGCAAATGTGAAATTTCCCTTGTGCATCTCATGAGACACCTTTTTAAATTTCCACAGTGGGTCACACCTTTTATCCAACTGTCACTGACTTATTTCTGCCAGATTAAAGTATTAAACTTTTCCCATGTTTGCGGTCAATCACTCACGCTCTCATCAGATCTGCTCGTTTGTGTCCCTATGCATATTTTCCCTGCTGTTGGTAGATTGGATTGTTCATATTGACATAAAGGAGATGGACTGTGTTAATAAATGTGCACATTGTTATTAGATCACCCACAGAACTTTCCCCTCCTATTCTTCTGGGTTTTTTCTGTTTGCAGCCTCACACTAGTCTGTCCTACTTAGTAAATCTGGCCCAAAGAGTTTGAAAAGTTGCCGCTCGTTAGTGGCTATGTGGGTTTAGCAGGAGACTTACGGGGAAAGGGTTCCCAGTTGTTCGTAAAAATGATGAAATTCTACCGTGTCATTTTTCTCCATTGCTATACAGCTCAAGTCAAAATATCACTGGACATGTTTTCCCTTTCAGTTATATTGTATTAATATTTGAAAAAGAATTGCAGTAATGATAAAATATCCAAATACAAAGAAAACAAAGAGCAAACTGCCCAAGAATCATTTTGTACATAGTTCAAATATTGTTCCCAAACCCGTTAAATTAGATTTTTTAAAAATCTTTGTATATACTCGCTAGCTGCTCTTTTAGGTACACCAACTTGGACCTCCTTTTGCCTTCAGAACTGATTTAATTCTTTATGGCACAGATTCAACAAGGTGCTGAAATCACTCCTCAGAGATTTTGCTCCATTTTGATGTGACAGGACTGACTCTTTTTCTGAGTATTTTCTAGTCAATGTGCTTTTTTATTTTTCATTTTTATTTTTTGTTTGCTTCCCTGATAGCTTTTTAGGATTTAAAACCTGAGGTTCAGTCATGTTTGTTCACATTGATGACAACTGTGTTCTTTTGGCTACAAACCAAGCAGAAATAGTTTTGGGGTATTTGGAACTTCATTTGACATAATTTTCTCACATGTCTCTGTAACTGCCTTCCAAAATGTTTTAATCTTTTTGCCAAACACCGTGAAGCAGTGATCCTTTAGCCTTTATACTGCTGCATATGCTCGTGTATGGCATACCAAAATGAGCATGGCCTTCAGTCTCACAGTAGCAGAATTGGAGGAGGGGGGCTTCTAAATGTGCTGCCTTTTTCTCTGAAAAACCTACAGAAGGACATGAAATTGTGAGAGCTTCTTACTATTACAAGATTTTAAAAGATCAAAGTAGTTTTAATGACTTCTTGTGACTAAATAAAGCAGGAGTGGACAAGTGTGTGGGCAACTTTTTTGGGGCCACATGACTGCTTATGTTTAAAGTTGTTATATTGTCTCCTGCACTCATGAGCATGTCAGGTTTTCTCAGTGTGACTCAACTGGAAATATTCAGTATGGTAAATTATTTTATCAGAATAATTAGAAACTAAAACAGTGATCTATGCAGTTTTATACAAAGTCTGGTTTGGTTTCTCCTGTATCTCATTTATTGAAAGCAACAACTGGCCATCCATCTATTCCTTTAAATGAGGATATTTAGCAGATGTTTTTTTTATTATACTGGTCTGATTTAAAAATGTATAATTTCTTATCTGAGCACACTTTAAACATGACTGATTGGATTTTGTACAGAGCTTGACTGCAACCAAACAGATCCCAGTTGGATGCTAATTGGCTCGTCTGAACTCTGACATGGTTTGTTTTGCTGCCTGATGTCAAGAGACAGCGCTCCTCTAAACGAGACTAAACTATAAACTAGATAAAAATCTATTATAAATAAGATATGTGCGTTTGGAAAAATGTATCTGTGACAGCCTTGATGTGGTGCGGTAAATTTGATGTTTTTTTTTAATACATTTTGCTGAATAAATTAGTAAATTCTGAGACGGCTTGATTATTAACTACAGTTTTTATAAAAACATGTCAACCATCGTTCATTTTATCCATTCAGTGTGTTTTGCTGTGCTCTGCCATAATTAGATTGTGTCTGCAGTGAAGCCGCCTATTTAACTGCAGGAATCTGATCGGTAGAACGACTAAAGCACACTCTATTGCCATACTAGCTCCAATAAAGTCCTCTGGTACAGTGCAGCTTGTCTTTCTAATGAGATATCAGTCTATTATAGCCATAGACAGACCAGGACTCCCTGCTGTTAAAAATCTCTGGCGGCACTGACTACAGAGAGCTTTGAAACACTGACTATGATAATACCACCGTATGAATATTAAAGACTCCACGTAGAGAAAATGCACATTTTGAATTGTTAACCGATAAACGCAGTATAGAAATAAAATACTCTTAGGAGTTGATACCATCCGCATAGATGTGCAGTTTTCCTCCACTGGCTCAAATTCCATCTTTATTGATGTCTTCTCTTTGTGATCTGGGTTGCACAATCGGCTGGATTACCAGAATACTTTGTAGCTCAGCCAATCGTGCCTGTTTGTCACAGAGACTGACAGGATTAGAAGATCTGCTGTTGTCATATTAATTTAATCCTCATGTAACACTTAATTAAGCAGTCATTTTAATCGGGCCTCGGCCAGTAGTATACAGCTCGGCCAGCTCAGATACCATTTCTTCAGACTGAATAGCTTTAGCATTTAGACGGCTGATAATTCAGTCATCAGTGAAAGGGACAAATATATAATGTGGTCTCCCACATCGCGTGACAGCTTCATAGAAACATTCGCACTGGGCTTGTGCTGTGCTAGTTTGGTGTCCATCACCAACTGTTCTGTAAATTTAACACTCCTACATCCACTATCAGTCTTGACAACTGTCTCCTCCGAACAGGACCTTTTCTGTGATTTTCCGGGGGCACGGCAATGTGTGAGAGCAGCTTTTCCGTTCTAATCTTTGAGACTCTGTCATTTTACTTGTGTTCCTTAATTTATTAAAGCCTATATTTAGGGGTTTTTTGCACTGATATTCTTTAACCCTCTCAAGGCAGGCGTTGCAGATTTGCAACAAGTAAAAGATAACAACCTGATTACCCAACATGCATATTTTATGAGTTTTTTTTTACTCAGAAGTACCACTGCAGGTATTCTTTTGTGCATTAGCAACAAAAACTTAATTTGAGCCTGAGAGGGTTAATATCGAACAAAAATGTTACTGCAAAAATACAGCTGACTGCCGTGACGTAACACTCTTGGCTATTTTTAGTTATGATTCCCTTTTTATCTGAGACGCATAATGTTTACATTTGGATTGATGGCAACACATAAAACAAGCTTCTGCTCAAAACTGTGCCAAGTGTTGCAACAGAGTCGTTTCCCCCTTCGACTACTGATAAACAACAACAAGATCCTTCAAGCAAAGGGAGCAAAACTGCACTATATAAAAATGCCATTACTAGTTTAAGTCCTGCATAAAATTACATAAATTCTATTAGCACATGACCTAAAGGTACCTATAAGTACCCATAATTTAGGGCATTGGCCCCACTGAGAGACGTATTTTGTTTATATTCTACAATATATCACTGGATTACTGCATAAATACCTAAGTAGCGTTTTACTGCTGTAGATGGTAAATGTGGAGCTTTTTGTGCACTGTTGGTCGGTGAACCTTATATAAGTACATGTTTCAGTACCGGAATACACAGTATCTGAGTCACCGCCTTTTACATTTGATTGTTACACTTGTGACTAATGTCATGTGCTCGGCGCTGACATTTTATTTTATTGTCCATTATGGATAAGAACACTGACTCCCTGCTTTGTGTCTACGGGAGGCTAAGAAAAGATCACAACATCCCCGTATATGGGAAATGTGTTGAGATGACGTAAAGCGGAATTATCCTTTAACTCATTGACCCTCACCTGGATGTTATCAAGAGTTAGGAGTGTGCAGATTTGTATTCAAATCAAACATGAGCCTGTATTCAAATCAAACACTACACCATCTGATTTTGCTGATTAAGTCCTTCATCTCAGGCTTAAGGTGTGCAAATCGGCCTAGTCAGCTGCTGGTGTGTGTGTTATCTGTCTTGCAGAGAGGTCACCTTTCTCATTCTGATGGGAATGCCTTTTGATGGCATTCACCAGCTTGGCCTTGAAAAAAAAGTAAGCTTACTAATAAATACCCACATTAATCTTGGTATTGAGACAATGGATATCCTGTAACACAAAATGTTCACAAAATGAAGATCAAATTCAATCATCTATTAAATCTCCCATCTGTGTAGTAGTTGAGAAGGATCCATGCCCTAAAGAAATAATGAGATTTTTAAAGCAGGTATTAATCATTTATTGGCACATTGAGTGCTTTTAGTTAGAAAATGATTGACTTTAGGCAAAATATGAATACGGTCAACCTTTGCAATGATCATAAATGGACCCCTGGTAAGAAGGGCTGTGCATGAAGAGGCTGAAGTCCAAGTTAAAACTTCATTATTTTGCACCAACTAGGTGTTTTCCTGAGTATGGTACGGCTATAAGTCAGGCTCATCCAATAGCGCGGCAGAGTAAACAGCAGTTCTTCGTGAAATAATGTAAACCCTTATTCTGTGCTTGAA